TACTATTTTTAACCTCATCAAAATCTTAATGTTTTAACGAGATATAATAAAGAGTAACCAAGCCTTGTTTTAAAAATTCTTTGAAAACACAGATTCGAGCTGAAACACCTAATACGCCCATGTACTATATACAACTCTAATAATTTAAAATATTAACTTATTCCAATGCTTCTCCCAACGCTCTAACCAATATTGTTGTAATAATTCAATTTTATTTCTATCCGGTTCATTTGTTTTTATATTCTTATCCCAAAATGAAGACAATTCTGAAAGATTATCTTTTTCTAATTTAAATAAACTTTCAAAAACATAAGCAATTTCTATTCGAATAAGTGCTTTTTCTCTCTTTTCTTCTTCCGTGTTAATTGAAATTATTATTTTATATAATTCTAATTTATAAGATGATTCGATTATATCTATTTAAATAAAAAAAGGATAAATTTTTAAGTGAATAGCTTATACAAAAATAGTTTAGAAGAAACGTTCAAGACATGATTTTGTGCTTGACATGCAACTTTTCTCGTATTTTTTCGGGCTGGGTCTAAGGATTTAGTCTTAGTCTTTTTTCTCATTTATAGGGGTTTTCTTAGATAAATTAGAAATTAAGATAGAATAAAAGACAAAATAATTTTTGACTATTCCAGAAAAAATGAATTTTCTTAACATCACTTCAAAATACATACAATTTGAATAATTAGAAACAATTTGGCATTTAGGACTTGCCTTAAAATGTTGCGCAAGGCCTATATGCATCATTACATGCCTTACATCATGCTTACGGCCTTAAATTTAGGCCTTACAATTTGACCTTGCCGCATTTTGTCCTAATGTAAGCCCTTAACTAAAGCAATTTCAATCTTACCAAGTCGAAAAATGATCGGTTTTCGCATCTCCAACCATGGAAACATTAACTGAGGCATTATTTTTCTCAATTTAATTTTCACTCCTTTAATTTTATTTATAGCCTCGGCAGAATCTTCCAAACATAATGAATATAATTTTGAAGCAAATTCACTTTTTTCAATATTTCTATTTTCAAAATCTTCAAACTTTGTAGGTATTAAATTATTAATTGCATGTAGATGAAACCATTCAATCAAATTAATTACTTCCGATGAAAACTGACCGTTCAAAATAACGTTTTTTTGAATGGTCTCTAAAATATTTCAATTATTTTTAACCCCGAATAGTATTTAATACGACGGGATTTTCGTAGTTGGAACTTTCAAGGATTCTGGATCCGGGTTGAAACGAAGAAATTCAAGTGAGGAATTTCTCTGGGTTTTCAAAAAAATTCCAATGACATTTTTTGATTTTTATATGACAATAAACCTTCTTTGCAACGGAATAGAGAAGACATAATTTTTAAAGTAATACAATTTTCAAGGTAAATTCTCAATCTCAACGGTGCATATCATATAGTAGTGAAGCTCTCCCGAGTTTTTTTCCTCCCGAGCATCACTATCATATAGTGAGGTTTAAAAATTACATCCGAAGATAAACTATGTAGATACGCACAAATAAAACAGACCAAATTTATTAATAATATTCCATAACGGTTTCACATCGTGCCCACCATCACCATTTACAGATTTTAACATTAAATAAAATTCTGCCAAAATATTTATTCCTGTATTCCCAAAAAGTTTTACAGGTAATTTATTTAAATTATCCATAGTGGTATTGTAGTATAATCCAAACATTTTTTCTATTATCTTTCTCTTATCCTCTGTTATTTCAATTTTCATAATTTGATTTTGTTCATCTTCATTTTCCATATTTTTCAAAGTTTTTTTTAAAGAATTCTTTTCCTTTTCAAATATTTTATTAACAAAATTTTTTCTTTCAAATATTTTTTGCTCTAGCAATGTAATTGTGATTCTACTATATAACTCGTTATAATCTTCATCCGAAAGATCATCCAAAAGTAGCAGAACATAGCTTTTATCAAGGGTCTGGTTTTCTCTTATGACTTTAATTTTTTTATTAATAGTCGACCTTATTATAAAATAGTCGGGCCTTATTAATAGTCGGACCTTATTATTGCTGGAATTTTTGTAGATTTTTTCTATCGTTGGAAATAACTTTTTTGGAAAGTGGAAGTATAGTTATGTGGAGCACTGTAGTAAGATAAACTCATGGGCTGAAAGGTATCATAGTAGAGTATTATTTCGGGTGTAATGCTTATTGTTGGTCTGCTCCGCTACACTATTGTCATTCAAGTAGTATTGTACGTATTATAATTCAAGCAAAGCCTATTTTAAATTAAGATATGTCTAGTATTGGGTGTATCTTGTAATAAGGTCCGACTTATATACTATTCTTTAATAATACCCCCCCCCTCCCTTAAACTTTATACTCTTCAGTTTTTAATTGGTTGTGGATCAAGTAGAAAAAGCTATCTAAGCAATACCCCTTTTATTACCTTTCATTTAGGATACTTCATTATAAGCTGCGATTTTTTCAGTTTTTAGAGTTATCTAATAATTAGTTTCGACGATATTTCTAATTTCAAATTTGTGATATAAAAACATAAATAAAATATACTACTGGGGGTAGGGGGTATGAATAGAGGGATAAGAGTAAAAATAAGAAATTTTATTATTAGTAATTAATCAAAAAACATTACCGTATATGCTCGAATAATTACCCTCTCTCGAATAATTACCCTCTTTAATAATTTCCCCCTCATTTTTTTACACAAATCTTAAATATGTATATTGAAAAAATCAATGTCAATTTTAATTATTGAAACAGTTTACTACACAATATCAAAAAATAAATCGATTCCCTCCTTGATTTATTAAGATATACACCAAATTTAGCACCTCCTCTCGAATAATTACCCCCTCCAACGAGAGGTCAAACAATAATTACCCAGGGTAATTATCCGAGCATATACGGTAATTATTTTAACTAAAATTATGCTTCAAAATTATTCTTCAAAAATAAAATTATTTAATTAAAAATAAATTTTGAAATTTTTATTAAAAACTTACAATTTATCGGTCCTTTTTGACACAAAAAAATATTTAATAAAATCGAATATAATATTAATTTAAATAATATTAACATTTTATTATTTAAATCTTTAAAAATTAATTTTAAAAAATAAAAATTGAGGAGCAGGTGAAGCTAGATTTTAAAGAAAAACAATTTTAAAAAATCGTATAGATTCGTATGATAACAAAAATAAAAACAAAGAAATGACGTGGAAATAATAATTTTTTAAAATTAGAGAAAAATAAAAAAAAATGATTTATAAGATGTTAGACAATGGATTTTAGATGTAAAAAATTTTTTTTAATAAATTTAAAGCGAGTTTTGAAATTTAGAAAAAAAAGTTTTGAACTTTACCTTAACTTAACTTTTTTAACTCTCCTACCTTGAATCTATAAACCTCCTTGGGGTTTATGGGGGTCAGTTTCTTAATTAATCAGCAATTGAATTATTTAAAGCTTTAAAAATTCATTTTAAAAAATAAAAATTAAAAAGAGGTGAAGCTAGATTTTAAAGAAATCGTTGATAATAGGCGTTGATAATAGGCTTATGATATTTTTGTCAGTTTCTTAGTCAGTTCCATTCTTAATTTTAAAAAACCTTATTTCAAAGCATATAATTTTTAGGGTATTTTTCGACCGCGATATAAACAAAATGAGTGCTGAGCTTTCATGTCAGATATCACAAAAACGGTGATTTTTTTTATAAAATTCGGGTACCTTGGTTTTTTATGTCATTGGAACCGCAAATTTGACTTGAATCACATCCGTGTTTACCGAAAAATTAATTTTTAATTCATTTGGTTCCTCAAAAAAGGAATTTAAAAAGATTGGTCAGACACAGAAAGGTCTACTAGAAATGATGCAATTTTATTATTTAAAACTATAAAAATTTGAATTAAAAAAATAAAAATCGGGGAATGATTAAAGCATTTAATTCAAAGGAAAAAAATTTTCTTATGAAATTTTAATTGTGAAATAATTATTGACATGTTTTTATTTTTAATATTTTCACGTGAATTAAAAGGAATCATGTGAAATCTTTCTTTGATGTAAAAGTGCAAATAAATAAATAAAATATTAATTAAAATTTTAATTTTTAAATAAACAACAACGCCTCTGCAGACTGATGAAAAAATTAATTTGTTTTGAATGCTGAGTCTATCAATTCAAAATTGTTTACCGTATATCCTTTAATAACTACCCTGGGTAATTATTGTTTTGACCTTCCGCTGGAGGGTGTAATTAATCGAGGGAGGGTAATTATGCGAGGTTTGAAATTTGAACGTGTTTTAGAGCATTTGACAGGAGAGTAATTATTGTTTCAATCCATCGCTGGATGGGGTAATTAATGGAAATGAGGTAATTATTTGTGGGAGGGCAATTAATACAGGTTATACGGTAGCTTAAATAATTTAAGGATTTTATTATGAGCAGGGAATTGTGCAACAGCTTTTTTGACTCAACAGCTACGGTCGTTGTTAATAGGATAATCGCCATAACTAAAAACATACTAAGTCTCAAACAAATGAAATGATTAGCAAAAAGCTTCGGCGACTACTTCAATGATATATTCACCTTCACGCAAAACTAGGACCATAAATTTTCGAAAGGTCCTACCTGCAATGTATTAAACAGACCTGCTCACGGATACTGATTTTGGTATCCGTATCCGCATATTTACGGCGGATACAGACGGATATCCGCAGGCATTTTGATATTATCTGTATCCGTATCCATGAGCAGGTCTGGTATTAAATGTTCCATGTTATTGTAGATGAACTTCCCGTTAGTTAGGGCATCTCACAATCCTGATTATAATTAAATACCTATTGCGTGCAACGGAAATAATGAAGAATATTAAGATAAAATAATTTTATTAATAAAATAAAATGTATGCAAGTATATGAGGTTAAAAAATAAATTTTTGGGATTATTTAATTTTTTCTTTATTTTCGCTGAAATAAATGATTGTATAAGAAAATGTTTTTAAATGCTTTATTAATATTTATGAGAATAATTCTGTTCTCGATTGACAGGAATTTCGCGATGGCCATATGACGAGTCTGAATGTGATGCTGCTAGAGGTCTTCCATTTTGTTGTTCCCTTCCAACTCTGTCTCGATAGACAGGAATATCAGTTTGTTGTTGAGGAGGATTGAAGGAATTATTATAAGAATAGAAAGGCCTATGTTCTAAAGGCATCGGGGATGGTTGCTGGCTTATTGTATGTGGGTGTTTTTGTTGTTTGGGGTGTGGTCTTTAAAAAATAATTTAGAAAGTCTCTTCAAAAATCTGCATATCTCGTTTAAAAATCTCATAACGTCGAGATTTTTCGAGATCTCGATCCGAAATCTACATAATTTAAATCTAAATACCTATTTTGTTTTATTCCTCCAGGCGGCCAAAAAATGTCAAAACAACAAAATCTGTATTTTCTATAATATTTTCTGTCAAAATATTCCTCATTTCTTCTTCCATCATACCAACGTTCCTCTGCTGAACCTTTACTTTTTTGCCATTTTTTGTCTTTCCTAATTTATATGTGCAAATAAAATCTTATAGATCGGAGCTCATTATAAGAGTACAACAAATGTTAAGCACTTTAAAATACGTTCTTCAAGGTTGAATTAGTTACTGGATTGGAGAGGGCCTTAGTATAACCTTAGGAGAGGGCCTAAGTATAATATGTACTTTATAATGAAGTCCGATTGTACTTTTTAATAATACTTTTTATTCAGATAATTAATCCCATCACCATGACCACCAACCCAACCATTCGTATAATGTTCATAATTTTGGCGATGATAATGATGATCTCCCTCTCCTCTTTCGCGATGCTGTTTTTCTTGTTTTTGATGATATTGAATGGCTTTTCTAGCTTGTCTCTCTTCTGCCGAATTCCTTAATGTTCCCATTGTTGTATAAGACTTGAAAAAAATTATTTAAAGTTAAAATCTATCAAAATTTTATAAAAACATCGGCAGCAGAACGATGCTGCTGTTTATCGCCTGAATGCCATTCCTTGTATTCTCTTTGATTCTGTTGATGTTTGGTGTGTTGAAAATGCTTCAATGCAGTTCCACCTTCACCATCAACCTAATCAAGTTAAAACAATTATTATTTTAAGTTTATAGGAGAGGTGAATGATTCTAATTTCAGACGATTTTGTCTATCGAATTCCAAACTTTTGTAAAATTTCCTATTCACAAACCTCTAAAAAGGATTAAAAAGGGGAATCGCCTATACACACATAAAAAGGGAATGAGTTAATTAATTTACATTTTGTTGAAAAGTTGAATACTCTGCAGCTGTTGCAGTTCCATTTGGATAATTTATAGTATAAGAAGTAGCTAAAGTTTCGGGTTCTTGAATTGCTTCATTTTTATATTTTTCCCTCCAAATATCAAAAGTTGTCTAGAAAATAAATTTAAGACTTTTAATAAATATATAGATCCCATTTTTAGATATCCCTTTAGGTGAAAAATCGTTTCTTATAACGTTTCTAATAATCGGATGACTGAATCTTTGATCGAAATTCAAAAAAAAATTCCGCCTAATAATCGGAAATAAGTTGCGGATATCCAAGGATTTCCTAGGATCCGCCAACGTTAAACTGGAAATACCTATATATGTAGTCCTTGAAGCTTCCTACCCAATTAATTTAGATTAATTACCAAAGGACGGTCATAATTTTGTTGTTGTCTTTTATCATATGTTGAATACCGATCAAAATTCCCTCCGTAAGATTGTAGTTGTTTACCTACATTTCCATAAATATCGTCAATTCCTTCCCTTTTCAATTCACTTCTCAATTCTGAATGGAATCTTCTAGCAGGTAATGTTGCTTCACGACGAATTGGGACAACTGTTATACCTCCTATAAGAATTTTAAGGAAAATTTTTACACTAAGTTTTAGCCAATGATAAGATTTGAATAATTTCTTGAAAATATTGCTAGCTATAAAAGTAGGATATCCGGAACCAAAGAAAGAAAAGTTCTGATATCCGAAGATTTTCCAAGAACCGTCAACCTTATTATAGACTCGTCCTTCAAAACAGTTTCAAACTTTCGAATTATAGTAGACTTTTTTGACGGATATGTTAAGACTTAGGGCTTTAGCGTCCCAAAGATCATGGGGGCTGGAATATTAAAAGGTTTGAAGATGGATTCGGGATTTCGGAAAAAAATCCTCTGGGTCAGTGAAGTGGATTCCTAACTTTATCGGCTTGATTAAATTAATCGAAATCTAGGAGAAATCTAATTGATTAAAAATACGTAATTACTAAAATTTAAAAGTGCGAAATCCAAAATTCAATAGCCCAAATGGAATTTAAATTATTAACATTAATTATTATTAATGTATTATTAATGTTATTATTAGGGCTAGGATTTTTAGGCACTAAAAAGTCAAAAATAGGCGCCTATATAGGCACTAAAAAACTGCCGAAATAGGCACCTTATTTCGAAAAAAAGGCAAAATAGGCAAGCAAAATATACAAAATTTCTTAAAATTTGAGCTAGATCTGGAAAAATATCGACTAAAATCTATAAAAATGGTTGAATTTAAGCAATAAACTGTTAAATAAATTAATTTTGACGATAAGAATTGCGAATATACAGTCGTGGAAAAAAGTATGGAAGCGCTAGAAAATTTTTTCTTAATTCTTAATTTTTCATTCAAAAAATACGTTCTATATACCAATCGAAAGCTCTATTAGTATCTCAGTTGACATGTTTCTGCATTTTTCATGAAAATGAAAATTGGCCGAGATAATCCGGATCTACCGGATATACCAAATCCCATTTTTTCGGAAAAATTTTTCGGAACAAATTTAACAAACCCAAATGATAAAGCATATTTTTCTGAGTATTTTCCACAAAACCGCTTAGAAATATCTTTTTTCGGAGCAGAGATATGATTTTTTGAAAATCGCATTTTTCCCTTAAAAATCGAATTTTTTGCAAAAAATGACCAAAAATACGATTTTCAAAAAATTATATCTCTGTTCCGGACAAAGATATTTCTAAGCGGTTTTGTGGAAAATACTCAGAAAAATATGCTTTATCATTTGGGTTTGTTAAATTTGTTCCGAAAAATTTTTCCGAAAAAATGGGATTTGGTATATCCGGTAGATCCGGATTATCTCGGCCAATTTTCATTTTCATGAAAAATGCAGAAACATGTCAACTGAGATATGAATAGAGCTTTCGATTGGTATATAGAACGTATTTTTTGAATGAAAAATTAAGAATTAAGAAAAAATTTTCTAGCGCTTCCATACTTTTTTCCACGACTGTAAATTAATTTGAATCAATTATTTTGCTTCCGAAAATAATTTGAATAAATTTTTAAAATAAAAATTTTTTGACAAAAAAAATTTTCAAAAAAAAAATTTTTTTTGAAAAATAAATTTTACCAAAACTAATTTTTAGTCAACAAATTTCTCAAAAAAGGCCCAAAAATTCGCAAATTTTTGTAAAAATATGCAAAATAGGCTGAAGAAAGGCAAAATAGGGCACTTTTTCAGAAAAAGCCAAAATAGGCAATTTTAGGCAACGATAAAATTAGTTAGGAAGAAGATTTTAGTAAAATAACACATGATTTGGACGTTTCAGCATCAGGCCTATTTAGGAAAAAAACAGGCATTTTGCCTAAAATCCTAGCCCTAGTTATTATTAATTATTATTAATACTATTTACCTAATATTTAATAATAATATTACAAAAATAAATTAATTATTACCAATTCTCTCAGCAGAACTACTCCTATAATATCTATCACCAACACTTGCACCTCTTATTTTATTTTTTATAATGTCGTCACCGAATAATTCTCCAGTATAATATTCCTTTTTAGGTCTATAAATAGCTCTATCAGCAGCAGTTAAAGGTAAATGGCGCTGATCTTCCATCGATCGGGAAAGAATTCCGCCAGTATTTTGTGATATAATTCTTGAAGAATAATAACCAGAAGGTGGGGAAACGGAGAAATAATCACCTCCTCTATTCCGCGACATTTCTATATTAATATTAGTTGTTGATAATTAGCAAGTTTAAGTAATTTTATAGAAAAATTTAAAGAAAAAATGGCTTAGAAAAATTTTTATATTAATTTATTTTAATTATTCGAGCAAACCACTGGCAGTTTTATGCATTTACATAGGTAAAATAATATTATTTAGGTGAACCACTGGGCTTTGTTTAAGCTTATCAAATCCAGGACACACTAGCATGTATTATTCGAACTTTACTGGAGTGGCCGGGTATATTGGGATTGTGGTTCCTTGGCATATTTTCTAGATAATCTAGCTGTGTTTTATGGGTACAAAACTTTTGGCACGGTTTTCGTGTGTTTTAAGACACAGTTCAAGCTAAAATTTTTATTTGATACTAAGAGGGTTTCCGGTTGTATTAAGAAGTTTCCGGGTACAATAATTTTTAGCATACTAGTTGTGAAATCGCTAAATCATAGAACTTAAACAAAATTAACAGAAAATTGAACAATTTTTTCGTAGGATTAACAGCTTTACCTTCAAAATTTTAGCTAAGTAATTTAATTTGTAAATTAATAAAACGCTTAATTATGTTAAAGCTAATGTTAGGCAATTTTTACACAATTAATCAAAGCGTAAATGTTTTCGAATGAATAGGCAAAAGGACTTCTGAAAACTTTTATGGATATTTTCTTTCCTAAAAACATTAAATGAAGTGAAGAGGGGGTACTTCCGCTCAATTTTAGCACATTTTTGTTCATTTTTGTTTTCAGTCTATAAGGAAAGAAACTGATTGATTAACACTATATTTAATAGTTTTAATCAAAAAGAGAGAGAGAAACCATGCAACAGCTCTGCGCAATATTTTTTTTGAATGTAAAAACCATTATTTTCTTCGCTCATTCATTTAACCTCTCGTAAAACTGCCCCGTTTCTCACCGCAGATAAATCAGAAAGAAATGGAAGGAAGATGGGGAACTTTTGCGTATACAAATTTTTGTCCGCAAAATTTTTGCGGACAAATGTTGCGGACAAATTTTTCTTAAGAAAAATTTGCAGACAGTATGTTTGCGGACCTTATATTTTCAATTTTGCATATTTTTTCGAATCTGCATATTCTATCCGCAAATATAAATCCGCAAATTTTTTGGGTGAAGGAGACAAAAACATTCTCTTTTTCTAATTGATGAGATTGTTGTTTAAATAAAAAAGGTTTGAAAGAATTTTACGAAACAAATCAAGTGTGTCTGGGCAAATTGTTTTTGTTATTGTGAGAGACAAGAAAAAAAATATTTTTAAATTTTGGTATTAAGATTCTTCAAATTTTTAAAATGAAAAATAAAATCTAAAAAATAAAAGTAATTTTATAGACAAAAATTTTAACGAAAATTAGTTTGCGTCCCCGGTTTTATCTATCCCAAAATCTCCTTAAAAAGCAGGAATGTGCAAGTTTGAAAAAAGCCGTGTCCTGTTTCAGACCTAAAATTAAATCCATGTCTCGAGTTTCGGGTAACACGGCCATCCTTTCTATTCTCTCAAAAGGTTCATAATGGTCAGACTAGAGATATAAAATTGGATCCAATCCATTCATCAATTTTATACAATAAATCCTTTCTTTGATTAAAATATATCAAAAGAGGAGTTTAAGATAAAATAAAAGAGTTAAATTAAATTAATGTCTGGAATTTAAAAACTAAACTTTTACTAAAATTCTACAAATTAAATCAAAAATTAAAAAAAAATTAAATGATAAATAGCGTGGGTTGTGAGTTAAAGCCTGAGAATGAAACCCGACTATTAGCAGACTCCGTAGCCAAAATTAAAAACAACACTTGAATACTTCTTCAGCTTATCTGAAATCCGTAAATCTTGTATTTCAATTTAAATTGTTGGACTCAGAATCCTTGCATAGTGCAATTTTTAATAAATAAAAATTTAATTAAATTAATTAATTTGTTTATTTGCACTCTTACATCAAAGGAAGATTTCACATGATTCTTTTAAATTCACGTGAAAATATTAAAAATAAAAATATGTCAATAATTATTTCACAATTAAAATTTCATAAGAAAATTTTTTCCTTTGAATTAAATGCTTTAATCATTCACCGATTTTTATTTTTTATTTATAATTTTTAGATTTGTAAATAATAAAATGCTATAATTTCTAGAGTTTACATACTTTTTCTGAGCAGGCCAGTCTAGTTAGTTCGGTGATTTTTTTGATTCCAAACTAGAGATCGAGATTTTTGAAAAGCCTGGACCTGTTCCTGGACTCTGGGTTTGATTTATTGACCTGGGCTGGATCCTGGGCCTGTAGAACAGAAAAACCCAGGCTCAGGAAAAACCCAGGAAGTTAAAAAATGCCTGTACCTGGACTCTGGGTACAGGAAAACCCCAAGCCTTGGCTTTGGTCTAGTCGATCTCTATTTCATAACGATAATTTAAAATTTTTGTCCAAGCCAAACTACTGTTTTCATGAAATAATCGAAAACTTAAAGCCAAAAAACCAAAATTTTATAAAATTTTGTCTCAACGACCCCCCCCCCCCCTTCCCCACTAAATGATGTTCTATATTTTGAGATATGATTTTTACAAAAAAGAGCTTATGGGACGTATAAAGGTTCAGGGGACGCATGTCCTTTAGTAGAAACCAATTCTTCGTCCCAAGGAGATTTATAAATTCAAGGTCAGAGTGTATAATTAATTTAATATTAAATTTCAAAACCTGCTAAATAAAATTATAAAAATTTTTAGTGTCTACCCTCTAAATAAAATCTATTTTTTATTTTTCTCTAATTAAAAAAAATTTATTAATTCCACGTTTTATTTTTGTTTTTATTATTCTAAATGTATTTTTATTTTTACCATTTCTTAGAAAAAAATTTTTAAATTGCTTCACCTGCTCTTCAATTTTTATTTATTTAAAATAATTTTTATGTATTTTAAATAATAAAATGCTAATATTATTTAAATTAATATTATATTTTATTTTATTAAATATTTTTTGGTGTCAAAAAGGACCGCTAAATTGTGAGGATTTATTTAAAAAATTTAAAAATTTATTTTTAAATAAATTTTATTTATTTTTGAAAGAATAATTTTAATTAGTTTTTAAATTAATTTTTTCATTTTATTCCTTCCTTCAATTTATTTCCTTCCTCTAATTTTGGTTTTATGTATATTAAGACAAATTTAAATTTAGAAATAAGGTCGAATTCATTTTTGGATTTTATTTTCAGGCTGAATAAATCGTAGCTTATAATGAGTTGTTTACTAAATATCTCCCTCTCCCTTAATTGCCCTCCCTCAAATAATTACCCCACTTCCATTAATTATCCCATCCAGCGATGGATTGAAACAACAATCACCCCCAAACAATTGCCCTAAAACACGTTAAATTTCAAACCTCGTATAATTACCCTCCCTCGATTAATTACTCCCTCCAGAAGAACGTCGAAACAAAATTATTGTTTCGACGTTCTTCTGGAGGGAGTAATTAATCGAGGGAGGGTAATTATACGAGGTTTAAAAGTTGAACGTGTTTTAGGGCATTTGTTTGGGGTAATTATTGATTCACCCAGGGTAGTTATTAGAGGATATACGGTAAAATAAAATTTGTCAGATAGGATTCTTATTACCTAAATCTAAATATTAAGTTAGGGGTTCATTAAAATATATACAATTTAAGATTCGTACTCTTTTTTTAATTTTGATGGTGATCGGGGAACTGACCAATAAATGAGAGACACTCAATTTAAGATAAATCTCCTTATGGAGTATCTAATAGTGTTGTCTTATTATATGAAATAATTTTTTATAGTATTAAAAGAGGACCAAACTTTTGACAAAAGCTATGTTCAGCTACTTTTCGATGATCTTTCGGATGAAGATTATACCGATTTATACATGAGAATCACAATTACATTGCTAGACCAAAAAATCCTTGAAAGAAAACCTCTTATCGATAAAATGTTGGAAAAAGAAAAAAATTCTGTAAAAGAATATTATAAATCAAAATCTTCGAAAAAATTAAAAAATAAAAAAGACCAAGAAGATATCCAAATTAAAATGCACGAACATCATCTAAAATTGATAGAAAGAATCTTTCAATTCTTCAATGGTATCAATGATAACTTGAATAAACTCCCTTTAGATGTCATTGGAGATACATCAATAAATCTTTTGGCAGAATTTTATTTAATGTTAAAGTCTACTGATGCCAATGATTTCGTAGCGTTTGAGAATATTATTCATAAATTTGGTTGGATTTTTATATTACAGTCTGAACTCATAAACAATCTGTTCCAAAATTATGACCGCACCCTTGTTTTTCCCCGTTTTCCGATGATTTTCTGGTTTTTTGATCTTGATGGCCTAACTTTGAAAACCCCGTCCTTCACTTAAGAGTTGGGTCGGGATTCCGATTTCCGCCACCTCTGACTTTTCGACCCACCTCTACTTCAACCCTAAAAGGCGCGCAACACTAATCAGAAATATTTTAGAGGGCTTTAAAAAGATTAATTTGACGGAGCCTTCATCAGAAGCAATTTACTTAATTGAAAGGCTTCATCTACATGCAATTAACAGTTTAATACCTGCAAAGTTTGAAAATAAGAATATTGAAAAAAGTGAATTTGCTTCAAAATTATATTCATTATGTTTGGAAGATTCTGCCGAGGCTGTAAATAAAATTAAAGGAGTGAAAATTAAATTGCGAAAAATAATGCCTCAGTTAATGTTTCCATGGTTGGAGATGCAAAAGCCGATAATTTTTAGACTTGGTAAGACTGAAATTTTAAGCTCACTCATTCTCTTACGTGCCACTCAAATAACATTCGCTAGCTGTTCCAATACATATTAAGATGACAGTCTTAGTAAAGATAGATCAGGGAAATTCACTTTTCTGGGAACCTAAAATTTTTCGTCTTTTATCCTATCGAAGGGAAACTTTCTAAATATGAACAAAACCCCAAAAATCCAAGAAAAGTCTCGAGTCAAGCTTCAACACCACAAGTAAATACCGTATTTCTTCAAAAATAGACCCCCCGTCTAAAATAAGCCCCATCTAGAGATCAATCGAAAAATAAGCCCCGGGGTTTATTTTGAAGGAAATACGGTATTCACCGCTTTTGAAAATTTAAATATATATTTTTTAATTTAACAGATATAATCGAATCATCTTATAAATTAGAATTATATAAAATAATAATTTCAAATAAAACGGAAGAAGAAAATAGAGAAAAGGCACTTATTCGAATAGAAATTGCCTATGTTTTTGAAAGTTTATTCATATTAGAAAAAGATAATCTGTCAGAATTGTCCTCATTTTGGGATAAAAATATAAAAACAAATGAACCGGATAGAAATAAAATTGAATTATTACAACAATATTGGTTCAAGCATTCGGAGAACCATTGGAATAAGTTAATATCTTAAATTATTAAAGTAAAAACAGGTCGAAATACTCAGGGAGCTGACCAGTTTTTTAGCCCTAACCTGTTATTTTTGTCAATTTTCTTTAGGGACAGGGTCTATTTTTTCTATAAATTTTCAAATTAAGTTGTGATTATGGAAAGACAAGTAAATTAATAACACTAAGCCAACCAAATAAACGTTATCTAATTGAGAAACATGCATTGGCTATAGAACAATTAATTTTACATTTTGATGAATTTTGTCAATTAATTAGACAAAGAGGTTCAAAAAGTCGGATTATCAAGCTATTTGACCTTGATTATAACAAGATTAACTCAATTCTTGAAGTAAAGGATGCAAAAACTCCTACAACAATGAATCATTTTGTGTTTACTTTGTTAAAAAGAGGTAAATTAAATTGAAATTCATTTAAATCTATGTTAGTAAAATCTCAGTAACTAAGAATCTGGGTATTAAAAAACTCGAACACTATTGCAATTCTAAAATACATATTTCCGATACGACATTATTAACTCTGAAGTAGGGTTGGGCCCCGACCCCGACTAACCCCGACCCCGAACCCCGACCCCGAACCCCGACATTATTTTCAGCCCCGATCCCGACCCCGAACAATTTGAGCAACCCCGACCCAGACTTTGTCAACCCCGAAAACCCCGACCCCCGACTTTTCCACCCCCGAAGGCTCGGGGCCCAACCCTACTGGGGCAAATTTATCTCATACCTTTATCCAAATTGGAGATAATGAGATCAAATAAAGCCTAAATGATAGAGAACTAAATAGGGAATAAAAATAATCAAAAATTAAAAAAAAGAAGCCCCATTTCTTTTTGGTCGCCCTGTATAGCGTCGATGTAAACCTAGCGGGATATATAGGCTTACGTCTTAGTCTATAATTCTTATTGTAATGGAGGTTCAGCAGCTAGCACTTAAAACTCTTCCTAGGTAGTAGGTTATGATGTATCGAAAGATGGTGAAGAAGCTATCTGAAGTACGTGTACGTGATGTCGGAATATTACCAGAAGGTCGCAGAATCGAATCCTGGTCGGGGCTAAACGTTTAACTCTCTAAATTTACACATTTTTAATTCATAGATGACTATTACTTGGATAGAGAAAAATTATTTGAATGGCTTTATGAAGATTATGTGCAAGCACTAGATTCAGAAATTATTGAAGAGCGTAACTGTGGCATTGCTTCTTCAGCAATTATTTTAAATATTCTTTGGTTAGATGATTATTTTCCTGAAGATCTTCAAGATTTTTGGAAGCAAATATATAGACCAATACTTCTCTTATATGTTGATAAATTAAAACAAAATAAAATAGAAATAATTCAAAATTATTTACATAAATTTTTATCTATGCTTCTAAAACTAAATTATTTTATCAAACAAATTTATGAGACAAGAGATAAAGACAAAGATGTTAAAAAAGATATTTTGAATGAAGTGGTATGTATTAGGGCTGGATTTTCTTCAGCTTCCGCCTTTCGATTTTTTGGCCTCTTCCGTCAAAAATACATCACCTACTTCTTCCTAAAATTCTTCCTAAAATTTTTCCCGGCTACGCGAAAAAATGAAAAAATATGGCCTCTTAGCCTTAAAAATTCTAAAAATTTTTGCTTCAGCGCTGAAAAGGAAGAAATTTGCTAAAAATGATAAGGAGATTTGTGAGATTACATGAATATGCACAGATATGCAAATATTCACGAAATGGTCGAAATATACAAAAAAATGCACCAAGAACCGGGTCCTAATTCACCAAGATTTTTGAACGTTTCAGCTCATGGCATATCCGCATGCAAAATATGCATTTGCATGTTTTGATACGCCCTAGTTATTACTATATTTTAATTTTAGTGGCCTTTAAACGATGAAACTCAACAACAATTATTAGAATTCAATCAATTAAGCAATGATGATCAGATTAAAGAGGATAAAATAGTTGTTGACTTAAAAGCTGAATTAAATAAATTAATAGAAAGTCTAGATAAAAACGACCTGATTAATAATAAAGTTGAAGATATTGAAGATTTCAGGGAATTTATTTATTATAGACATAGTTGGGTTATTAACAGTTTAATTAATCCAGAATTTACAGTAAAAGTAAAAGGTAATAATTTTTATTTAGTAATAGTTGGTGCTTTCACATATTTTCACTTTCAAGCTTAGGTAGAGCCTCGATATAGTAACCATTTGACTTAAAGTAACAGATCCGATCTTTCTCCCTAATCTTCCTTATAATGACACTTGATTTAATGTTGCCCTCGATATAACAAAATTTTTTTTCAATCCATCCATGTTCGTTGTATTGCGATTCGACAATGCGATTATATTTCGAGGTTAAATAACGTGATAGTGTATAAAAACGATATCCGAATGTATTGTTAAGATATTCTGTTTGTCTGCCAAAACTTCAAAAAAGTAGGTCTGAAATCAATCATAGGTCTGAAATCGCTATTAGCATAGACTATATTTAAATTTATTATATAATTTAAGGCTTAGACACAAGAGGGTATGAATTATTGGAAGACATAAAAAATATGTCTATTGATGATGAATACTTAACATCAGAGGATTCTGGATATTATAATGTGAATTTTTACTAAAAACGGGACTGTAAATTTTTGAATAAAATCGTGACCTGAAAATCATAGGTCTGAAATTGATATTGGGAAGGGATAGTGTCCCAATCCTGTTCTGTGTCCAGCAGAGGTAGATTGGAAATGCGAAGGTGCCAAAAATCGAAACTGTCGGAATTCAAAAATGGCCCAAAAGTCGGAACTCCGAATTCCGACCAATCTTTGGTTCCAGTATTAAACTAAATCCATTATATTAAAAATTTATATTGGCTAGTAAATGCATTCTTTCTAATTCTTTTCACTTTTACGTCATTTTCAAATTAACAAGAAAAAGCATTAAAAGTTACGGTCATGTTGTGAAGTGTAAATTGTGTGCGTGTTGAGGCCCTAAAAATTCCAATGAAAATTACCGTATTTGCTCTAGTAATCCCCCAGGGGGATTATTGTTTCAACCCATCTCTAGGGTGGGGGATTAATAGACCCTGGGGGATTATTAGAGTGGGGTAGAAAGAGGGGGATTATTGTTTCAACCCATCTCCAGGGTGGGGGATTAATAGAGCCTGGGGGATTAATAAAGACTGGGGGATTAATAGAGCAAATACGGTAGTTGTTATAAATATCATAATAAATTTCTTGCTTATAAGATAGTATAAAATTTAGAAATACAATCCAATTGAGTTTGTATGCCCAGAAGGACAACAATATGAAAACTTGACAAATAATGAGCCTGCAGGTTAGTTTAATTATAAATAAAATTAACAGAGCCACATATGGTAGACAATAAAATAAAAATTTTAAGCTATTGGCTATGAATTAAATCCATCCAGAGAAACAATTGACAATTACATAGAATTTTTGTCACAAAATAATCACCAAAACGAAGCTAGTACAAGCAGTACATTCCAACCATTAGATGTTTACAAAATTAATTTTACTGCTGTTCTATCAAAATTTATTAATTTAATTGCGAAAATATTAACTGAAGATTTAAAAGAGTTTAAGGATGAAAATAAACGTTGGGAGATGTTTAGAGATTGGAATAAAGTTGGAAATATGCCTCAAAAAACGCTTTACAATATGGAGGTAGTTATAAAAATTTTGGAACAATGGATATATTGACAATAGTGTCATTTAAGAAGTTCCTCTAGGTGGAGGATTGATTAAGTGACACACTCCCGCACCCTCTCCCTCCCGCACCCCCTCCCCCATCTCCTCTCATTTAAAATATGAACACGGTTTGTATTGCCAAAGGATTTCTAAAATACGAGATTGACTGCATTTAGTATAACCCTTATCACAGACAAAACTCTAAACAAGACTTGTCCGTCCAAGAATTTTAAAAGTCATTTAATTTCAGTAACATAATAATTTTTTATAATTTAGTCAAAATTGTACAAAATATTTTTATTTTTGGAAAAATGGTTACTTTGGAATGGATATTTCGCTAACTTGATAAATGATGAAAGTAAATTAAATTTTAAAGAACTTAAAAAATATGTTGAAAATGTACCGAATGGACCAAGTAATTGTGAATTCGAAGATTCGTTTGATTATTTAAATGAATTAACGGTAACTTGACTAAATTAATTAAAGTAAAATTAATTTTTACTGAATAACTAAGGCCCTTATTTAAATTTGGGATGGAATAAAGAATAATTTTGAATCGAATAATTTGATTTCGAAGTATTCGTTTCGAATTTGACTTCGGTTTTTGTATTTTTCCGATCTCTAGTTTGGACATACACCTCTGGGAATTATTTTTGTGATTTTAATGCTGGGCTTAGGCTATATAGAATTTTTTGGTTATATAGACATATTATGTCCAATCTGGGTAGGCCGAGTCACACAAAATACGAGATGCGAGATCTCTCAAAAAATACGAGATTTCACGAGATAAATGCTAAGCCCACCCCTAATTTCCAATCTGTGTGGGACAAATAATATTTGATAATAACAATTTTTATTTGAATCATAAATTTAATTTCAATTAATAAAATAAAACCACAATCTAAAATACGATTAAGATCGAAAAATAAAAAGAAAAGCTCTAAATTTTAATGTTTATAATTATAGCATCTTCTAAACACCGAAAATATTCATTTTGACGTTTTCGATGCAATAATTACAAATTCTGACAGAATGCGCCATTTTTTATGTGACAATGATATTATGAAAACAAAATATTATTTAAATGTATTAATGGATACAGGCAATCTAATTCTTTTAGAAAAAAGACATCCAGAAGTTTTAAAAATAGGTACTGTATAATATTCCATAATAAAGGGTTCCAAATAAATATTCCAAATAAAAATAGGTACTGTAAGCATAACTTGTTTCATAATTTCCGAATGTTACCAAATTTAGTATTAAACGACTCCTCTCATCGAGCTAAATAGATTGGTACCAAAAGTGATAAGAGCCAGAGATTTTCCAGCAAGTTATGGATTTGCGCCATTATGGCCGCGCGCCTACTTGGGCGTGTCCCCATAATAAAACAATAATCTATATTAGTGTTAGGCATTTGCGATTTTTCGAGATCGAGATTATCGAAAATCTCGATATCGAAAAAATCTCGATTTTTCCAAAAATTGATCGAGACGAGATCGAGATCGATAATCTCGAAAAATCTCGATATCGAAAAATCTCGGTCCAAAATTTTCGACATTATCGCGATATTTAGATATTTTTATAATCCCTTAGAATTGAATAAAAATTTATTTCAATCAATATAATTATGATCTAAATGTAAATTTGCCACAAAAAATTGCCAAATTGCCAAAAATTGGTTCAGAAAAATTAACATTTCTGCATTTACTGGACTCAAAAGTGATCGCCTGTAGTCAAAGACGTCTTTCTGACTTGACCGATACGAGATCGAGATCGATAATCTCGAAAAATCTCGATATCGAAAAATCTCGATTTTTTCAAAAATTGATCGAGACGAGATCGAGATCGATAATCTCGAAAAAAATCTCGCGATATCTCGAAAAATATCGTCGATATATCGTCTCGTGCCCAACACTAATCTACATCGCAATTCACATCTGTCTATGTGAATTGCGATTTTTACTATATTAGTCAAAACACAGGGAATGACTAAACTACAGTATATGCTCAAATAATTGCCCATGATATTATTGTTTGTTCTCTATGTTAAAAGAGCTAATTAATTAAAGGGAGGGGGGGGGGCAATTGTTTTAGGGGATAATCATTGGAGCAATTATTTTAAGTATCCATGAGTACTCACCAACATTGGCAATTTCTTTTAAATTCAGATAAAATCCTCACAGAAGCAAGGTTAACTTATTATTTAATGTACATAAATAATCCAATTAATTCTGCCGAAGCATCTGGCGCACACTTTAAAATAACCAGTTCTTTATTATACGGAAAAGTTAAAAATAGTTTTGACGTCATAAAAAAGGAATCGGGCAATGTAAATAAGGTAGAATATTTCTAACAGTTAAATAAATTTTAATTGAATCTCTGACCGCGTTTGAATAAATTTTCTGTTTGATTGAAATTTTATTTTGAAATATGAAAAAAACACAATATTTACGAGGAACTTAACACAATTTTATACCGTAATTCATTACTGATTATCAAAGAAATCATTTCAGATCCTAATTGATCTGAGGGGCTTAGCTATACTAGTAAACGCCTTTTAGGTCGTAGGGAGGGGGGCGGAAGCTATACTCCTTTGTGGTGTTTTACACGATTTTTAGCCTAAAGGTGTATCTAAAAATAGTTATGGCTTTATATTAAAAGTTGAATTTATAGTTAATTCCCGGCAATAATTCAAAGCTTCAAGTTTTTTCTGATCGTTTAAAATGGCTCAAATCTCGACTTTTTGCTAATGAAAAATCCTTTTATGATTATAAAAGTTTATGTTTAATGGTTTATTTTATTCAAATGGCAACACCAGAAAAATTTTCTGAAGTAACTAAAAAATTAGGAAATAAATCTAGAATATTAGATTTGAACAAAGTAAAAAATTGGGAAGGAAAGGAATGCGAAAATATTGAAAATAATGCTGAATTACGAAAAGACATATCATATCGGCAAACGGTA